TGGTAGTCCTGATTTACCAGCAGTGTCCTGACTGCTGGCTTCACGTTATTTTCTTCGGCCGGGCAAGTGCTACTGTTGATGGCGCTGCAGTCTGAACAGGAGCTGAGAAATGAAACCAAATGAAAACATAAACACCTGCTTGCTAGATTGCTTTTCAGCTGAAAAAGTCTCCCGATTAAGTTGGAAACACAGCCTCATAAAACAGTTGTCTGAGGTCAGCATGCTATGAGATGAGGTGGAAGCAGGCAACCGGAGGCAGAAATAGGTTAAACTGGTCTTGCTGGTGAACAGAGAGTTGTACGTACCCTCAGAGACAGCTTTATCAATGCTTCACAGTCCTGCTACACTACGCTCACATGTGCCTTCCTAGTCTTGCCACGTTATTGTTACGGTCCTTAATACTTGATACAAGAATCAAATGGCTGTTTTCATGCCTCATGAACGTGTGAGCTTAAAATTTTTGTAATATCTTTTTTTTTCTTTTCTGTAACGCTAATGATTTCTTTTTTCCCATCACCCTAGTTGTGTCTGCTCTGAATAAGGCATGGTGTGTGAACTGTTTCGCTTGTTCAACTTGCAACACTAAGTTAACACTCAAGTAAGTTTATCGACAACGGAGTTTATCAAAACATGTCAGTGGTTATCTTCAAAGTGTAGATGTTGCTATAGTGTAACTGTTACAGTATGAAAAACATATAGGCAGCACTGAGAAAATAGGTGCATCTTTCTTCCTCTTGCTCCACTTACTGATTTACGTCTCTTTCAGCTGTCTGTTCAGGTCCTCCTTCAGTTAGTCTTCTTAACTCTTCTCCTCTTCTGTCCTTTATTTTTTCTGTGTTTAACTCTAAAGGGATAAGTTTGTTGAAATTGATCTAAAACCTGTCTGCAAACACTGTTATGAGAAAATGCCAGACGAATTTAAGCGACGACTTGCCAAACGGGAACGGGAAGCAAAGGATAAAGAGAAGCAGAAAAAGAAAAAGCCAATCTGTTTGTAAACTTTTTTTCCTTCTCACCACCACCTCTGCTCCTTTCTTCTTTGGTCAGTGCTAAGGATGCTTTTATTTTAAGTTTTTGCATGCATTTGTGGCAATCAAAACCAAAGTATTTTTCACACAACTGCAACTTGAAATACTAACTTGTTATCCCATTATCTTATGTTTAGTCTGTTTAGCTCTACAATTAGGTTTGAAAGGCTTTTTAAATGACACAGTTAATAAATACGGCCATTTGGGTAAAAGCTGCATAACTAACTCAACAGGGTACTGTAATTACTGTCTACGATGTATAACTTTGTGAAAGTAACTTCATATATATGTATAAATTGCAGTTGTAATTTTTTGCCTGTGCACGTTTAATAGGATACTTTTTAAATTTTTTTTTCACTATCCCTGCTGCTGAAACTTTGTCTGGTTTTTGCTTTGTCATTTTAGGAATAAATTTGTTGAGTTTGATATGAAGCCAGTCTGCAAAAAGTGTTACGAGAAGTTTCCTCTAGAGCTGAAGAAAAGACTGAAGAAACTAGCTGAAACTTTGGGAAGGAAGTAAAGACTTCATCTGCTCTCCCCTTCCTTGGTGAAAATCTTATATGTATTACTTGGCGGGGAGGGGCTGCTTTGAGGCTGCCATCAGACAACAAATGATGATGTATGCCTTCTATCAAACCGAAATACCTTAAGATTCTCTGTTCTCTATACACGTACACGTATGCTTATTTGTTGATGAACAGACCGTACTTCCAAACTAAATTAAATACCAGCTCACCTGAAGGGTTTCCGACCCTGATAATGCAGTGGAACCGATGCAAGTGGCCCATTCCGCACAGTAATCTCTGCGGAAATTTACAGAGGCGGAAAATTTGCTTGTGAATACCTGCGAAAACAAACTGTGCGAATGTGTCCAACTTTTGGGGCGTGTATTGTCATTTATATTAATGAAAGTATTAACCCTCAAATAAAGCATGCACACAAAACTTGCCCAAGTCGAGTGACTTGGGCAAGAAACCCACGTACTTTGCCTCGTGGAAAAATTCACGCTTGGATTTCAGGCCAAGTCGTCTCATTAAAGGAGCCTTGTTTCAGATGGTTTGAAAAGTACCAGATTTCTACAGTCACCGTACAAATGACCTACTTCTGATAGATTATGCTTACATGATGAATCTTGGTACATCAGGCTTAGCATGAAATATCTATATAAAATATATATTCCTATTGCAAGAAATGAGCATACTCAGAACTACTTGAATTTTGCTATATTCCACTCAAAATAACACATTAACTTTTATATATGCTTTTGCATTCTATTTACTTTTCGTGCCTTATTCTGCTGGACCATACATAATAGTATTCCATTAAATATATATATAGTTTTATTTTTTATTTTGTATTTTTATGCAGAAACTATATACAAGGTATTTTCAAATGATAACATACTTTGCCTTAAGGATACATACAGGATGCGAGAAGTATTTTATTTCAAATGTGAACACCTGGGCTTAAAATTTAGCTTCTAGACTTCATTAATTTTCAGAACAATACTGAAAATGCATATTTCAATTAACTGGTTATATTACTTTTACACCTATGAGTGTAAATATACAAGGTTTGATCCTGCTAGGATCTGTTTCTTTAGCCATCCTCAAGAACTGAGCTCACAAACCATCAGAATTTCTTAGAACATACATTTAATTGTTTTACACTATTGACTTCTGTCCATGCAAATCTGTTTTATTTTCCTCTTTCTTATAGAAAACACAGTTACTTAGGACTTCTTGATGGTACTACATTACGAAGTACGCAAACTTTTTTTTTTAATATTAGTGACTTAAACAGATTTTACGTTATTACATCATAGGAAGTAAAATTTTCTTTCCTGTTCATGAAAAATTAGTTGCTTTAAAACGTCTGCTTTCCAGTGTCATCAATAAAGGCTATGTTATTAAACCTTGTATCACCTCTCTTAAAGTGCTTTGGAAGGGTGGGAAAGCAACTAGGCTGTCTTGGTTCCCTATGCTTTTACCTGTGACTGTATGTAAATACTTCCTTATTATCCTGATTTAGAGGAGACATATGCCTTTCCTAAATATCTCACTGTAGTTCTTAGGTTCGTGAAAGAAACACAGTTTGTTTCATAAAGAACAGCTTGATTCTTCTGGATATTTTCTGAATTGGCACAGTTGCTAGGTTTTCCTAAAGAAAATAATCTTGTCTGAGTTGAAAATGTACACCTATCAATTTTTTCTCTCCTCCTTTCACTGTAATGAAACTGTCACCCCAAACTTCCAGTTTAGTGCTAGGTAGTATATTTTTTGATTATTTTATCCTACGTAGTTATTGAATGCCATAACAGTTCAGTAACTGAATGCAGTCCTGACTGTGTTCAAGACTAGAAAAGCTTAAAATGTCCCCAAAAAATGTTTACATCACTAGCACGGTAGCCCTGTTGGGATTTTGGACTGTGCCATGGATTCAGTAGACCGTCCTCAGCAATGCTTCCTTTAAGTTGTAATTCACTTCTTATTCTAGGTTTTTCACATTACACTGACTGTGCACGTTCTCCTTCAGCCTGTGTATGCACAGCCTCGCTGCTCAAAGAGTCGGGAAGGGTCCCTGACCCTGAAGCTAAACGGCAAGACCTGGCTCACATCCACATTGCTTGGGGTTACATCCATCCACAACACAGTGGCCTTGTTTGTGCTGCACAGCCATGGGTCTCCTCTCGACTCTGCGGTAGCCCTGTGGCCCTATCACGGGATGGGGTTTTTTTTTCTGTTTCCAAGTTCCTGATGGTGAACGCTGTGCTACAGTTTGCCAAGGCAGCAGTTTCTATTTCGTAAGCATGAGCCTGTGTATCTCGGACCCCGTGACGTAGTGCTGTGAGTATCTGAGGGTACTTGAGGGTTCAAAGCCTGATGAATCATGGAAAAATGTTGGTTGGAAGGGACTGCTAGAGGTCAGCTAGCCCAACCGTCTGCTCAAAGCAGGTCTAACTTCAAAGTTGGATCAGTACTGAGGGTCTTGCTCAGCCAAGCTGTGAGTATCTCCACAGAAGATTTCACAGATCTTTGTGGGCAATATATTACAGTGCTTAGTCACCCTCATGGTGAATTTTTTTTATTAATATTGGAGTCCTATCTCGGGTGGCGGGTTCCCCAAATCCACACTGCTCTCTTGGGAGCTGTCTTTGGAGTGAACTGTCATTGAAATAATACCCCTGGACATTGTTATGAAGAGGATTAATTAAAAGCAGTTGCAAAACAGAGCCAGGGAGCAAGCTAGCAATTAGGCAGCCTGGACAATTACAGGTCTGGTGTTGAAGCTCACTTCCTGGCCTGTCAGTGCTACACATATTTTACATAGCTGGACATACCTTCCTTAAAGAGGTGGAGTTTATCATTGTTTTTCTACCCATGACCCCTACTAGGTCTCTCAAAGAAGGCTGTGAGCCTGGGATTTGGGAATGGATGCCTCAGAAGCTTTGCCCCTTTCTGCTGCGTGGGACCAATCGTGCATGGGCAAGAGATCCCTTTTGAAGGCCCTGCTTAGACTAACAGCAGGGAGCACTTCAGAAATCCCAGTGGATGTAGCTGTAGGGAGAAGAAGCTGAGCCTAAAGCCTTTCTGCCACTGGCAGTGGCGAGCTCTGTGCTCTGTTCCAATGGAGAGGTAACGAGCCAAGCTGAGCGCAGTCAGGTTGCAGGGACAGCTGCTGTCCTGCCTGGTGAGCTGCCTTCCTGGTGTTGTGACCACCAGGATGGGCGAGAGACAGTGACGAGTGTCAAGGCACTGGACCTTGTCTGTATGAAGGCCATTTCCCATGCCCCCCCATCAGCTGAAGAGCAGAAAGTTCCTCCAGTGAGCCAACTGAGCCAGCTCTTAGCGTTCTCCTCTGCACTAGCACCAAGACTTTTATTACTTAGCCTGGCAGGTGCTGATAAATTATTTGGTAACCCCCATTGTAGACACACCATTCAAAAAAGTACAGACAGAAAAGATCCTCTTTCTTCTTAGGGAATTAAATCCAATGTTTAAACAAATCACCATTAATAGAGCAAATAATAGAAGAGAGGGTTAATTCTTTCAGCCGGGGTGTTACATGGATGCTGCTGGTCTCCTTACAGGAACAGGTTGGGTTATGGTTTTTTATTTTTCTGGCAAAGATGGTAAGAGCTTTGGGGATGTCAGTACTTTTTAGGTGTAGCAGGAATCCTATGGCTGTCAATGGGTTGCTTCAGATTGAGAATGGGACAAATTTTTCATGACACTGCTCTAGAGACAGAGCCCAGTGGCCTCATTTTGACCGACGTGCCTGAACTGGCAGAGGAGAGACAAGACGGGCAATTCCAGCGAGCAGAATCCGAGGCTGCCAGCTGGGAATTACACCGTGGGGCAACTGCAGGTGCTCAGCACCACCAAACTCTTACAGCTGCAACTTGCAAATTTCTCCTGTCTTGAGGGCTGCTGATCTCATCGTCTTCTGATCCATGTTCCCAGCTGTCCTTTAGGATGATAACAAAGAATGTAATTATACTATTCACAGTACCTGTAAAATAAGGTTTCTCAAAGCTGCTACAGCATTTAGAAACTCATTTTCTAGAGCATTGGGTCTCAGTGATAAGGCCCATGGTTATGGATTAAATTTATAGTTGTGGCGAGCCAGAAAATACAGTTTCAGGTGAGAAAATACTAAAGCACGGCTCCACACACGTGACGATTTTCTGTGACAGCTAAGGCCCACGCACGAATGGAAGATGGTCTAGTAACAACGGAGCAATGACCAGTTGTCCCTTAAAATTTACCGGGATACAAAGACAAGGCCGCCTGGCTTCCCAGGGAGGCTGGCAGCCGTTAAGCCGTGCCCTCACCCCGGCCCCGCTCACCTCGTCCGTCCGCGCCAGGCCGCTCGGGAGCCCTGGGCCCCTCACCTGGCTGCGGCCAACGGCCCCGCGG